GAGATATTTCTTCCCATGAAGTATAAAGTTGGGTTAAGCCTCTATATCAAACATCCCGACATCTCAACACAAGGAGAATGAATCTCACCTATTTGTAGCAATCAGGGAAGAGGCTCAAGATGTCTTGGAGGATGCCGCCAGCAGATAACCTGAGCTCAGCTCTTCCTGGAAACAGTGCAAAGACTCTAGTTATGTCTCCATTAGTAAATAAATTAGGTCTAGCCCCATAGCCAAGTGGTTATTGCACACCTTATACATAGCTAATTTCTCCTTACCTCCCAAAACGGCACGACTATGTGCAAACTACCTGTTTTAAATGGTCCCTGGGCCATGCCCGAGAATTGTCTGGGTGAGGCACTAGTTGACACACCAAAACTGTGCCAAAACCTCGACCACCAATTTAGCAATGTAAATCTTTGCAGCATAATGCCATATCCTCATTTGCCTACTGTTGTGAATGTAGCTTTTGAGCATGCACTACAACCAGGCTAAAGTTAAAGGTGCACAGACCATATTCAGTCCCTTGACTTTGCTGGTTTGGTTCACAAAGTTAAAAAAAACACCTCAGTTTTTTGTATTTTTATCACCATTAATAATATCAGCTGAATCTGCCCGTAGTACCTTCACCATCTGTCCTTTTTCCAGGCAGTCTGACATGCTACTAGCTGGCTGTGTTTGCTTCCTCTGTTACATTTCTTTTGGGAGGTAAGGCTGGAAGGAGGAAGCTACTGGAGTTTGCTCACGTGGCTGTGCTGCCTTTTTTTCTTTTTTCTTTTTTTTTTTTTTTTTTTTTTTTTAAGTGCTGCCCACTTCCACTTTAGGCAAGCTTTCCTTGTTGTTGCAGCAGTTGTGACATATAACCAGCAGTGCAGTGTCCTACTCAGGAAGGAGTAACACCAGACCTCTGTTCCTCTGGAGGGTTGATGTTTGGGCATGGCTGGCATGGCTCTGCAGCTCCGCACAATAGCTTTTAATGCCAAAAACTATAGACTGAAGCACCTGGGAAGAAAACTGGTGAGAGATACTGGAAGAGATGCTCTGCCTCATCCTTTGCTGCATGTACTTCAGGGATTTTCTTCTGGGAGAACGAATCTGGCACTAAACAGGATTAACATGTATCAAGATGTTTAGGGCCTTTCCATTCATGGAAGAGGTATCATGGCCTACCTGAGAAGATCTTCAATTGGGGCATCAGGAAAATGGGCTGTAGCCTCAGTGGTCTTCTGAGATACCAGCTCACGTTGACCGATCGGGTTTTCATTTTTTCCTCTAACATTTGAAAATGCTTTTTGGGGACCACAGTTACTCCTGTGTGTGCTGTCAAGAGCAGGAAAGGCTGATTTTTTGCAGGGAGCATTGAAGCCTTGGTAGATGGATACTCTGTCAAGGGTGTTTATGTGTGTATTCTCTGTTGTCTCCAGGACATGTGCACAGCTGAAGCAACTGCATCACTGCTCCAAGCAGAAGAAACCTTTTCAGCATGCCTGGCACGGATAGATGCTCTTATCCTCAAGCCTCTGCTCCAGGCAGGTAAGTTAAAGACTTTTTTTTGTCTGTAGTTCTAGCCTTGAGTCATTGGCACACGTAGGAAGGGAATTATAATTGAAACTTCGTGGCTGAGGACTTTCTGCAGGCTGGTTTGCTGGAGTAAGTGGTATGTAGAGTTGTTTCACTTAAGATAGTGAGATCTTAGGGATGTCTATGACCTTTCATTCAAGCCTAGGACTGTGGTTCCTGGCTTTTTTTAGAGGTTCATCCAGATTCTAACCAATGTCAACCTGTATGTCTGCTCTGAGGCTTGTTTCCAGCATGGTGTGTGGAAACCAAAATGCATCTCACACATACATGACCCCTAAACAGTGCCCATTCTGCCTCTCAGCTTCCATGGTCATACCCATCTTTGAAGGCAGAACTTGTGGGTGCAGGTTCTGAGCTGGCATTAAATCAGAGAAGCTCTACTGAAATAACAAATCCATATAAATATTCACAAGCCTGTCTGGCCAAAAGTGGAGCGACTGGATTAGACCCGTAGGGTGGTTCCTTCTCCTGTCACCACTTTTTTTTGGGTCTAGCCTCCAAGGAGACCAGGAACAGCCCTTTGGGCCAGGGACAGCATATTTCCCTCCGGTGCTTGTGTCTGAGCTGGGGCTGAGCCTCACAGGCAGCCCTGACCCCAGGCCCCACAAGAACAAATCCTTAGTGTGGATAGTCCATGCAGTTACTCACAGGGACCCAACCCTAAATCATCATCTCCTTCCTCTTTGGCAAAACAAGAACAAATCCTTAGTGTGGATGGTCCAAGCAGTTACTCACAGGGACCCAGCCCTAAATCATCATCTCCTTCCTCTTTGGCATTGTTTTTCTGTCAGAATATATGTGCTTCACATGTAAAAATTGGGCTGAGTATTAAATATAGGCAATGTTTTCTATAAGCTTTCTTGGAGTCAATGCTTTCTGATAGCCTTTTACCCCTGCCTCATCTTTTCCTCAAAGAGCCTAGTGACCAGAAAGGAAAGGAGAACTTTAAGCTCTTCCTGCTCCATTGCTTTTCTGTAAGAATATATGTGCTTCACATGCAAAAATTGGGCTGAGTATTAAATATAGGCAATTTTTTCTATAAGCTTTCTTGGAGTCAAGGCTTTCTGATAGCCTTTTACCCCTGCCTCATCTTTTCCTCAAAGAGCCTAGTGACCAGAAAGGAAAGGAGAACTTTAAGCTCTTCCTGCTCCTGAACGATCGTTTTCAAGCTCTGTGGAACCTCACAGAAGAAAATTACCGGATACTGAAGCAAAAATGCAGCACCTCTGAGTCATTCTGCATCCAGGACATTTACACTGTCTGGAAAGGAGACCTGTTTCTAAGCCTCTACATCCAGTAAGTACAGAAGCATTTTGGAGTGTTGTAAGAGACCAAATTTATCAACTAACTAGTAGGTTGGCGCAATTAATGTTTATATTTGATTTGTTCAGTCCTGTCCACTAGTATTTGGTTATTAGGTCAGAGAAGTGATTGCATTCAGAGCTCAGAACAAGTGCTACAGAATATAAACAGGATAATAAATAGCTTTTTCTATATAGAGAGAGCTGTGAATATGCTTGTAAGAGGCAGGATTTCTTTAAGTATAGGGTTTATTATGCATCTTAAAAATGGGAAGAGGACAGGGGGAGTACTTGTGCCTGGGGAATTCATGAGAGCAAATCTTGGGCTGTCATCAGGAACAGAAACACATGCACAGGCAGGTTGACGGGCCCCATAGGGATGAGGAGAGGAAGGTGTTACCAGACACAGTTCATATTATGTGTTTGTGCCACATTTTTATGCTCTTGGCAAGGGATACGATAGCAAGTGATGGATGTGGCGTGACACGAAAAACATAATGCCCTATTGCTGTTTCTAGAATTAATTGTCTGCTCCCCATCTGTCCGCAACACAAAAATCAAATGTTTACCAAAATCACTCTAGCGTGTGTAACCTGCATGCTGATGTCCTAGCATGAAAAATGGTTTATGGACATCCGAGATGACATCAAGATCAGCCGGTGTTGAGTCCTTCATTCATCACGTTGGCCACAAACGTGGCCAAGCCCTTGCCAGATGGATGGGCTTGTGCCATCTGTGCAGTTTGACGCCCACACAGGAACAGGAGATGGGCTCACTGGCTCCTGGACATCATTGCTGTTCCTTTAGTCTTGGGTTTTGTGGTTTTAATGCATTCGGAGGGAGGAGGAAGGGAAGGACTACTCTTTTTGGTTTGTTTTTACTTGGCCAGCATCATTTTAGAAAGCGATGCACAACAGACTTTGCCTTTACGTGGATGGAGTTTAGAGGGCGTGCGGTCTTCATTCAGGAGATGATTCAGTGAATTAAAATGGGTTTGAATGGAGCTTTAGAGGGCATGTAGTCTTCATTCGGGAGATGATTCAGTGAATTAAAATGGGTTTGCCTTAAAAAGGCATATAAAGGATGAAAACTTATGCTGAGGTTTCAGATGACAGAAAGGGGAAGTTTATCGTAAGATCTAATTTCCCCTCATTTTGAAATTAAAACCTGTTTTCATTGGGTGTCACACAAAGAAAGAAAAGCTGGTTCCTACCCACCTCTGCTGACTCACCCTGTGCCATCCTGATCCTACAACGTCTCACGCTTATTAGAGCGTTATAGGAGGAAGCAAAGCCTCTGTTCTGGACCCTGAAAACCAGCAGTAAACACATGTCCCTGAAAGATGTAATAAATGACAATTAGTCTGGACATTCTACAGGACTTATCTGAAAGCACTACTGGAAGAAAGCTTGGTATTTGTTGAGAAAATATGGCTCGATCTCCCTCTAGTGTGAGATGAGATACATTGACACCGGGACACATTGGCTTGAATTTACCATCAGTAATAGAGAGTTTTACTTTAACCAGCAGAAATTCAGACATCAGAAGCTGAATGCTAAAGCTCAGCCTTCAGAAGTTTGCTTTCCAGGACAGTTGTGCAAGTTTGCTTCTGCTTCTGCTAAACACCAGGATGATTTAAACTTCCTGTAACAATACTGGTGCAGAAGTCAACAAGGCAGTCCAACCGAGGAGCTGGCAAAGGGGAAAAAAGGGGAGTGAACCAAGGTGAAAAGTCCAGTAGCTACATCTCTCTCTGCCTCCCATGGAAAGGTGGACGTGACATGACGTTTTCAAATGAGCTTCTTCCCTCTATCTCTTAAACCTCGTGGCTAATGTGCATCTCTAACTCAGCTCGTGCTTGTGTGTGTTTGGGTTTTTTTCTTGCCAACAGATATTTCGTCACTTTTGCAAACTACGTTGTGGTCCATGGCTTCGAACACGCCACGAAGAGCAAAAGGTGAGCGAGCTGAAGAATGCTGCTTTGAAGGGGCTGATGGGAACACAATGCTACTGTATGTGTTTAAGATACTAATGTGGAGTGAGCAGCACTGAGCTCTGCACCTCGCAGCGATTTCCATTTCATGGTCCAGCTGCCTGGCCATTCTGGTTGCTCCTGGTTGCATCCTGGTCTTCTGAGACCAGGGCAGCAGCTGTTGGAAGGTTTCCTCAACAGATATCTCTCCATGTCCTCCTAGCCTTGCAAGCTTGTAAATTTGGAAGTTGGGGGGACCTGAGAAAGGATGATGTGAGAATCTGGCAGGAAATTTCTACTCCTTGTCCCAGATGTCTCAAGAAAATAATAAATCAAAGCATGAACACTAGACATGAGCAGATTCACAGCCACTTTATCTGAGTCACCCTTTTGGTGTGCAAACCATCGTGAAATACATTCTATATTCCATGTATCTGTGGGTGGGGTTCCTGTTTGCAAAGACCTCTGGGCCAGAGGCAGGAGGGATGGAGCTCTTGTTCACCTCATTGCCTTATTTCTGTCTGTTTGGTGTGCAAATTTATTTGCACTATGTCATCTCCTGCTCTTTCAAGTCTCTGGGAGTGAGGTAGCACACAAAGTTTGGAAGGCAGAGGAGTGGCAATTTGCAGAAAAAAGTAATTAATGAACCTTTGTTTTAATTCGCCAACTTGCAGTGAAGCCTGGAAGCACCATAAGACAGTGCTGAAGCAATTCCTCACAGACTTCACCTCCGAGACCTCCATGTCACTGGCCTTATATACTGTTCTTCACAAACCTATCCGAGATCATATCGAGCAATATATACTGCTCCTTACCAAGCTGAATGAGGTCCTCAAGGAGGTAAGAAGTTTTATGTGATGTTACTTGACTGGCTTATGCCAACACCTTATGCATGGTTTTTGGGGCTTTGTGGTGGTCCAGTCAGTGAATCCAGAGCAGGTTGGAAGGAAAATGATTTCCAGTGAAGAGCTGGGGTGGTAATAACCAGCACCAGTGGAGTACAGCCCACCTGAAACCCTCAAAGCAACAAACAGTGGCCGCTCCAGTGCAGTATGAGCTACTCGTAGAATCATAGAATGCTTGAGGTTGGAAGGGAGGACCTTAAAGATCACCTGGTTCCAACCCCCTGCCCTGGGCAGGGACACCTCCCACTAGACCAGGTTGCTCCAAGCCCTGTCCAACCTGACCTTGAAAACCACCAGCAGCCACAGGGGCAGCCACAGCTTCTCTGAGCAACATGGGCCAGTGTCTCACCACCCTCATAATGAAAGCTTTTTTCCTAAAATCTAATCTAAATCTCCCTCTTTTTTCCTGAAATCTAATCTAAATCTCCCTTCTTTCAGTTTGAAGCCATTATCCCTTATCCTATCACTATGTGCCCTTGTAAAAAGCTCCCTCCCCTCATCTCTCCTGTAGGTCCCTTTCAGGTACTGGAAGGCTGCTATAACATCTCCCCGGAGTCTTCTCTTCTCCAGGCTGAACAACCCCAACTCTCTCAGCCTGTCTTCATAGGAGAGGTGCTCCAGCCCTTTCCTCATATACTCATCACACAGAGGAGCTGCAAAGGGTCAAGTAACTGGCTTAAGGTTGCAAGCTTCTGCTGGTGGCAGAGATACTCCTAGATATGGGAGGCTTTCCTTGCAAAGGAGGTTGGAGGGTTAACTCTCATTTGGATTCAGAACTGCTGAGGTTTTTCTGCAGCTGTAGCCCAAAGAGTAGATGTCATGCTCAGCCATACCTGCAGTGTTTCTCAAGCCCTGCCTTCTTTTATCAGGGCCCTGAAAAGGACGTGGTTACCAGTGCCATCGAGGAATATGTGAAGCTGGAGTCTTTCATCGGCCAAGTCCTGGATGAAGCTTGTTTTACCAAGTCCTTATGGAAATCTTTGGGCTACAAATTCACCGTGAGTTATGGATGTAGAAAGTGGCTTGAAGGGCAGCTCTTTTGGAGATCTTACACTTCTGGTTACGCCTGGAGGAAATTTAATACAGATCAATCATTTGAGGCTTAGTTTGGAAGCCAACAGAGCAGGGCAGGGTGGGAAGTCTTGGAGAAACCATATGGACACTGGATGCATTAGAAATTGAGCCTTGTGCCTAGCTCTGCTATCCCTGTTAGCTTGTGCAACAAGTCAGACAGTCTCTGGAACTGTTGTCTTGAGTTGTATGTCCTCTCCCAAATCCTGCTGTTTCCTGATGTTTTTGGTCCCCCATCGTGACTTCTGTGGTTCCCTCTGCAGGATATGCTCTGTGTACCTGAAAGGAGGCTGCTGGAAGATAGCAAAAATCTTCCCATCTCTGCCAGCACGAATCGATCAGACCGGATCTTGCTCTTCGATGATGTCCTTGTGCTAATTCAGGTGAGTCTTCAATCTCTCAGAGGGACTGGAAGGGCAGCACAGATAAATGACAGCAAAATGCAGGTTTCTTTAATGCTGAAATTGCACCAGAGCTTGGCTGTTGCGAAAACCTTCTCCCAGATCCATGCACCAGTGGTTTGCACAGGAGAATAAAAGAAAGCCTGATGAAGAAGGAATAGAAGAGCATCCACTTAACTTTTTCTCCAGTAAATGCGTACTATGCAATCACCACAGGCACTTTTCTAGTAATCCAAACCCATGGCTGCATATAAATCTGTTGATTTCTGTCCTTGTTTATTCAAAAGGGGCCTGATAGATCAAAGATATTATACTGGAAGCACTCATGCGTAGGACTAAATGTGATCTTTCATGGTTGACTCTGCTAGTGGCATGGGAGCAGAAGTTGCACGTGTTCTTGGGGTTAATTTCAGGGATTTAGGGCCTGGGTGTGGGGCAGACAGGGAGTGTCTCCAGCCATGGATAGCTAGATGAGTAATATGTGTTCAAAGCTGTTCTGCAGCATGTTAACTAAGTCCAGCTTGGCTTGCTCTGACTGACAGCACCTGTAATCTAGCACGGCTCTCTTCATGTGCACCTCTTTAGTCATGTGCCAGCCCCTCAGGTGTCCAAACACATGACTGCCTTGTGAGCCGGTAGATCTTACGGGCTCTTCCAAACATGAGCCTTTATGATAAGGCTGGGCAGTCCTACACAGCTTGCAGGGTCGAGGCCTGAGGACATCGGCTGGTAATTATCTCATCCAGCTTTACCTTGCAGATTTCTCATCACTGGTGATCTCGCTGGAAGCAAGTGCCCCCGGGCTCCCTTTAGAGTCAGAGGAGAGGAACATGTGCTGTCTAGGTGTGGTTCATCTGACCTGCTTTTAGATGCCAAAATTAGTGTGAGTTGAATTGCGTCCTGAACTTCATTGACTAGGACAAGAGCATGGAGTAACCAGCTCATGTGGAGATATCTACGTTGCAGACATCTCTCTTCAGTCAACGGTTCCCACCCACTATGTCTCATCTCCTGTTATGACTGCTATTGAGGCTTTGGGAGATGTAACTGAACTGGGATTGGAATGGTTACCTTGTCCTGCTAGTAGGGGACTGCCCATGAAGGAATCTGAACCTCCCTCCCTCCCCTGCTCCCCCAGATCTGGTAGATACATCAGTGATTAACTCTTGGTGAGATCCATAGTGCTAGTACCTAACCCTGGTCAACTACATCCTTGCAGACAGCAGCTCTGTAGAGTATGCACTTGGACTTTAGACAGGAAAGGAAGACACAATATTAAATGCAGTCTTTACCTAATATTTTAACCATTTTGAACTTCTCTTTGGTGTGCTATTGATTAAAGTGGTGACTCCTATGTGGCTGTGTCACCTGAAGTCCAGATCCTAGGTAGATCATAAGCAAAACTAGGCAGAGCTACATGCAAGGGATGGTTTGGGAGTGTTGCCATGCAATAGGGAAGAAACTTTTGTAGAGGTAAGTGCCATCTAAGAAGGTCTGATACTGTTAGTTGTAGCTGTGGCAGTACAGACTACCACTTAAGTGATAAACTAGGAATTTTCTTCCTTCTCCTACATTTCTTAAGTCTCCAAGGTCTGTCATCGTAGCATAGGATAGATGTGTGGACCACAAAAGAGGGAATTTACAGCGCTGCCAGTCTAGCTTTGCTGTTCAATGGATTGACAGAGTGGGGGACAAAGTGTGATGTTTACCTCAATAATGGGAATATCTTCTTTCTTTTGTTCCAGGGAAATAGCTTTCAGAGTTTTGATCTGAAGCTTGTGTGGTTAGATGAAAACTGCAGGGAGAAATCAGCTCCAGGACTGTAAGTTAAGTTTCCACTTGGAAGTTAAAAAAAAAAAAAGTATTCAACTTGATTGTAAAACTGAGAAAATGATTCAAAACTTCAAAACTTTGTCCCATCTCCTTTCCAGCCAGTGGGATTGGTTTGATTGTAAAACTGACAAAATGATTCAAAACTTCAAAACTTTGTCCCATCTGCTTTCCAGCCAGTGGGATTGGTTGTGGGCTGTGGGTAGTTGCAGCATCTCTCAGGTGGGACCATGGAAGCTTGGACTTGCTTTTGCTGGCATCTTGAAATCAATCAGTAAATAACATAGTTTTGGCTGCACACCTGGAGAATAAAGATGAGTTGACTATTTGAGTGCCTCTTCGGAAGGAAAACCTGATTGCAAAAGGGCCATTAGCTTCTGAAGAAGAATGAGAAGAGCAGGAACTGCTGTTTGACTGAGAAATGTGATTTTTTTTTTTCATAGTGTCCCTAATGTCTTTTGCTTCACAGGTACGTCCTCCGCGTTATAACCCCGGAAGAAACGTTCTTTCTCTCTGCCAAAGACCCAGAGATGAAGGTTAGCAGTGGGCAGGGTGTTTCCCTTCCACCTGAAATGGGGGTTTGAGTTTTGAAATGGGGGAATGACATAGAGGGGATGGTGGCTTTCTAATGGGGGCAAAACATTGAGTGGAAGCTGAAATCCCATTAAGCATCAGGATTTTAGCTTCCTGAGCAGAAGACAGATTGCTGGGCTCTGCACCTGCTTATATTTAGCTGAGGTGTTTCTTCTGTGATTTTTGCCATTTTTAAAATTATTTAAAGCAGAACAATAAGCAGTGTGGGGTTTGTTGGTTTTTAATCTGCCCCTCTGTGAAGCCAATGCTGTATGAGATGGCTAGAGGTGGCTTAGACAGTTGATGGCAGATGAAAAATATCCAGATGCTGGCAGTGGTCTGCCCTGGGCAGTAGCATCTGCTGCGGAGCTTGGGACAGTACGGTCCCACCAGCATGGTCCCGTGCCATAATGGTGGTGAGAGTCAAGCTTAAATTACATGGAAGTGTTGTGGATTTGGGGCAGTATCCAACTTGCAGGACCCCAGATAACACCTCCTGTTGATGCTGTAGATGGGCCATAACTTCCCAGCCCAGCCAGCTGAATGGCACAGAGTTGATGGGAACCCAACACCTTGCTGCTTCTCCTGAAGTATGTCTTCTTGGGAGCTATTTTGCTTTCTCTACTCATTAGTTCGGCACTTCTCTTCCCCTTCTTTACTCTGAGGGTGTCAGAGCACCAGAACAGGCTGCCCAGAGGTTGTGGAGTCTCCTTCTCTGGAGAGATTCAAAACCTGCCTGGATGCGTTCCTGTCCAACCTGCTCTGGGTGACCCTGCTTTGGCCAGGGGGGTTGGACGAGATGGTCTCCAAAGGTCCCTTCCAACCCCTGCCATCTGTGATTCTCTGCCCCCAGGCTGTTTGGCAGTGGAAGCTGAACCAGGCTGTCCGACAGGCACTGAATGGGAAGCGAGATTTCCCATTGTGGGGCAAGACTGGTGAAGGCACCGAGCCCCCATCCTGCCGCTTCTTCACCTACGTCTTCAGGCTGGAGGGCAAGTTCAAGAGCGCATCCTACGAGGGCGAGTGGCACTGGGGAAAGCCACATGGCAAGTAAGGAGCATTTTTTTACCCCTTTCCTAAGCAGAAATATGCCAGGATGGCCCTGCTGTCTCTGTGTAAGACTGGATCCAGTGGTGGATGGTATGGATACCACAGAATGGTTGTGGACATGGGGTGATCCATCCCATGCTGAGGCCTTGGACCACAGACTCTGGGCTGGTGACTTCCTGGGGTGTGCCACCCTTTCTAGTTCCTTCCTTACTTCTTTCCAGAGGGAAATTGAACACTGAGGATGGATTCAGGGGGTACTTGGGACACATTTGCGTGCTTTCAGGGCTTGGTCAAAGCATGTCTCACTAGCGATACTGGTTAATGCAGTAAATTTTAGAGGCTGACCCTAATAATGTGGTAATGATCCCATTGAAGGCACTGCATCGGCTTATGCCTGTAATTAGGACTTAGACTTGAGCTAATGTTTATTTTCAAGATCACAGCTTGAGGCATAAAATCTTTCCGTCATGATGACAAAAACTGAAACCAATATAAAGCCTTTTCTTGTGAATGAGAGAAAAGTTTTATCCTGTGCTGTCAAAATCTATTCTAACATCTAAATTATTATCAAAGGTATTAAAAATATATATACATATATATATAAAGGAGGCTCAAATGTATTATTTGGGAACGTGAAAACTGTACACTAAATCCAACTGAAGTTTAAGAGTGAGTTCTACCACAAAGGAATGGTCTGTAAATTAAGGCTTAAATGGTCCCAACCAAAATCTCTTTGATGTAGGATAAAGCACAGTCTCTGTTTTTGTGAAGAAACAAGAAATATGACCAACTTCCTCAGACACAAAAACAGGGTGGTTTGAAAGTTTTATGCTTCCTGAGTTTTACACAGTTTGTTTACAGTTGTTATTGAAGCAAAAAGTAGATAGAGATTTGGTTTGGAAGAGCCTCAAAATAATGAGAATAACCGAAATCAAAAGTGTAATCCTGAACCTTCTGCGTAAGAGATTGGGCCTTGTCCCAGAATAGCATTAAACAGTTTTTGGAGTAGAGCTTTTCCCCGAGGGAGTCCTTTACATCATCCCCACTTTCCCCAGCACCTGCACTCCTGAAGGGGATCGGAAAACCACAGTGTGTAGACACAGAGGAACAAGCAACTCTTCTTGCTCTTTGTCTCCTCCTCTCTTAGAGTTGGAGAAATAAGATGAATCGACATCTCTGCTGCTTCAGATAAATGAAGCTGAAACATCCCAGGCAATTTGTGGCAGAAATAACTGACTTTGGGTGCTTTTAATACCTGAACTTTTAATTGCTTAATCACTAAGCTGTCCTTCCCACTCCTGAAGTTGCTCTTCTGTGTGACTTGCTACTTTGATGGCCTTGATGGCTTGTCCACCTCTGAAGGAGAGTCTGGCTTGGCAAGGCACATTAGTAGAAAGCTGCAGCAGCATGAATTGGGGCTCTTCAGCAAAAAAGCCTGTGTTCTTCACTATCCTGTCCCAGTACTCCTGGCGACCTGGTGTGGTGGAAGGAGATGCTTCCACTCTGAAGTAGCTTAAACTATCCCCATGGCTGAAGTAGGCATTCTCTGTGGCTTGCTTTCTTTGCTGGCAATCATGCTAGCAAAGCAAAAGGAGATGTATTTCAAATCCACGTAAAATTAATCTGACCACTTCCCTGTAAATACCAGAAAAAGAACCTGTCTCGTGTAGGTGTTTAAAGCAACAGCCTTGGTGAAAGTCAAACAAATGCGTCACGGTTTTGGCAGCACACCATCCTCTATTGTCTCTGGTCAGGGAACGTGTAGGGAACTGGCTGTGTCTGGGGTGATGCAAAAATTAAAACAGTGAGAGGGTGTAGGTGGAGTGGGAGACAGGAGGGAGGGAAATGTATTCACAGCTGGGCATGGCCGGGCACTAATTTGACCATGGCGTTGACTGTTCCAGACTCGTTGTTGCATTGTTAACTCGTGTAATTGTCTCTACAACCCCCACACAAAACAGATGGGAAGATATGATCCCTTTAGGCCAGGGCTTCTCTCTTTTGTTTTCATAAAGCCTGGTACAATGAAGTTCTGGACCGTGGTGTCATTATGTTGTCTACGGGGATGTGCCACGCTGGAATCTTCAGCTGGTTTAATCACATGCTGCGCTGTGATTACGAAAGGATCATGTGCAAGGTCCTAAATGGATGACCCAGCAACTCTACAAAATGCTTTTGAGATTAGGGAACATAGAAAAAGATTCTTCCTGCTCATTCCAGGGCACAAAAACATTATGACATTAAATCCTTACAGTGCCAGGCAAGGTGCCAGAGGTGCCTGGAGAACTTCTGTGTCTCTGTTCCCTGAGGAAATATTTTGACATTAGCCATTTCTAGGTTGTGCTTTGATACCTTCTGTTGCAGCTGTGAGTGTTGCTGGTGATGCCCCTTGTGTAACGTTTCATTTGAATTGCAGGGGGACACTGAAGTGGCGTGACGGACGCAACCACGTCGGAGATTTCAAAGAGGGCTTGGAGCATGGGTAAGCCTTAAAAAAACAGGGTGTTTCTTGCTTTCAAAATAAGCTAAGAAATGGTTCCTCCCAGAGGTACAGGGACACCGGTGTCTTGTAGAGGGACTCTGTTCACTCTTACAGCCCAATTCATCCAACCTATTTTGGACACCTGACTTGGATTGTAACCTAGAGTGACTGGCTAGGGAATGTGGTGCAGATGACCCTTTTAGAGGCAAACATCTCTTCAGCTGGATAAATCTGACCCCAGTTCTCTAAATCTAGGTGTATTTATTCATGTGAAGCACCTTGACAAAGTTATTTTTAGAAAGCTTTAAAAACCTCTTAAAAGAGTTTTCAGGGGAAAGTAACTTTACTATGAGATTCAAACGTTATTTTTCTATTATTTTTGAAAATAAGACTTCTACATTTCTCATTTCTACTTGAGTTCCAGAATAGCTAAGGTTTTTAAGGGAAAAAAAAAAAATGTCTCAACTACTTTGTATTGGGATTACAAAAACATTTTGTTTGGACCAAAGGAATTATTTTGGTAGTCTAACTCAGCTCCCAAACTGGGGAAGGGGGAGAGACAACAAGAAACCAACACAATTGAAAGTATCTCTCTAGAAGAAGCAATGAGAAACTGTGACTGCAGCTCACGAGGAGATGAGCTCTCCCTTGGGGCAAGTCCATCGATACCTGGAAAGTGTGTCGGGGTAGAGCTGAGCCCAACCATGCAAATCAGCTTGGGAGTCTGGAAGGTCCTTCATTTTTAAGCTTCATCCAGTAGAACTGAGTCACTTTTTGCCATACTGACCTCTGCCATATGCACCTTGTAGGTTTGGAATATGCCTTGTCCCACGTCGATCTGAAGACCGGTATGACTGCTACAAGTGCCACTGGTACGAGGGCAAGATGAGAGGCTATGGAATCTGTGAGTAAGTAAAACCCAAAGGTGGACTCTGGGGGGGAAAAAAGGGCACTCCACGTATTTAATGTTCCCACCTCACTGTGGAAGGCTCAGTCATGGTGTAAAACCCAGGGTATTTCGGGTGCCAGAAGCTTTTGGTTTGGAGATGGGCAGTGTGGCTTCTTCACAAGCCCTGAGTCTTCTGAGCATTAGAATAGTAAGAGCTTCTCTGCAAGCTGTGACCATTGTAACTACTTGAGGTAGCATCCTCCGTGCCCTAGAGGTGAGGATGTAATTTTGCATTCGTGCTTGTGGTTGCAGAGCAGAGCACATGGTGTGCCATCAGCCCTTGACAGACATGGTGAAGCACACAGCTTGCTCTGTCTCCCCTGGCCAGGCCATCTGGACTAAAATCTTGTGTAGACTAGTTCCTTAATGACGGGTGGGATTGTTTCTCTGGGGGTCATAACTGTTATCCTCACCTGCTGAAGGGGACTGGTTCCCCCAGTTGGCTTTCTTTTTTTGCTCACTCAAATTCTAAGCTAAAATCCAGAGATTAATTTTAGAAATGGAGTCTGAGCTTTTTTCTTATTTACTCATCAAAGTTGGTCCCTTCCAACCCAAACCATTCTCTGATTCTACGACGTGCAGAAATCTCTAGGGAACTTGGAGCCAACTGAGCAGTGCTGCACTAGTGTCTCTGGTGTCTAATGTGAAGGTGTGTTGATGATTATCAATTAGCTCTGCTTAGCATAAGCGTTTTCTCTGTTGTGGCAGAGAAGATCTGCTGGCCAACCTGGCCAGAGCTAAGGGGACCTCTTCTCAGGGGGATGAGCTGAGGAGAAGGGGTGGTTGGTGAGCGTAGAAAGGTGGCAGCAGATCTGGCTTCCTGCTTGATCTTATCTATTCCCACTCTGGATTAACCAGTGGTCACCACAACCTGGCTGGTGAGAGGTCAAGGACTGAGTGGCCTCTCCCAGGACAATTGCAAGCCTACGTGTTGTGTCCTTAGGTAATGTTATCTATATAGTTATCTAATATTATAATAGAAAACTATCTGTGGAGAGATTAGCTTGGGTGATGCATGTTCCTAATTGCAACCAACTACCCGCTCCAGAGGTATCAGTCAATTTTTTGGAATATTTAGGAGGCAGATGAGCCCAATCTACTGTCTTTCCTGGCTTCCTCCTGCAGTAGTAGCTACCAAATAGGCACAGTCTTAAATTCTGTTTGTTTTTTTCCCCTGCAGGTATGGGAATGATATGGTCTACAAAGGTTACTTCAAAGACAACGTGCGTCAAGGGTTTGGGATACTGGAGAACCTCTCAGCTGAGCATCCGTTTAAATACACAGGACAGTGGGAAAATGACAAGAAGAATGGATATGGAGTCTGGGAAGACAAAGATAGGTAAAGGTGATTTAGATCAGAGGTGGTTTGAGGTGGCTGAGAGTTTTGTCCCTCTATTGGCAGGGGTAAAGCCTTGTGTTTTGATGGGGTGATTTGGGGATAAAAGGGCGGAGGTGTCCAAGCTCTGCTATAAGGCTTGAACTTCTGGGAAAGTCCTATGTGTATTTGTGCATGAATTTAACACTTGTCCTGCACGGAGCACTATAGCAGGTAAAACCAGCCTCAGTAAGTGATACATTGAACTGACAAAGATCTAATAAAACAGCGAAAAAACCTAATTTGTTTTTCTCTCTTTCCAGAGGTGAGAGATACATAGGGACATGGCTTGACGATCACAAACATGGGCAAGGCATTGTAGTAACCCAGTCGGGTGTCTGCTATCAAAGGACATTTCATGCTGATAAAATGGTGGTGAGTACCCATTTTCAGTGGATTCTCTAGATTGACAGGACATGGAATTGCCCAACAAGGGCAAAATTAAGATTTCACTCCATAATCTTTGAGGGAAAAGAGAAAGCAAGAAAAAGCACGCACTGGTATTTTACCATGATGATGGTCTTGAAGAACAAGACCTAGATTAAGTCTTGTTTCTTAACATCTTTCTGAGGTGCAGGTAGGAACTAGATGTGAGACTGTCACTTTTCCTTGCTAAGACACCTTATAGGTCTGTCTGTTTGACTAATGATCAGGTCACTATTAGAGACCAGAACTCATATGTAAAGTGCTTTACAGTTATTTATGGTACTAAATCTATCTTAGACATCATTAAGCCTTTACCTTTCCAATGTGAGCTTACCTATGGCAAGTTGGCTGTCCAGTTCATTGAAAGTTTAGATGTTGATGTGGAAAAGCAAAAGGGACTGGCATTGCTAGAACTGGCTTGGAAAGAAAAGCGTTTCTTCTCATTAAAAATACGCGCTTAAAAAAACAAACAACCCCTTCCCCACTCACCAAATTAGGACAAAATGTTTAGCATGGAAACTTCGTCGGAAGGGCTTTCCATAAAAACTCCATCTGCGGGGAACCAAAATAAAGCTGTCTTTTGGTCTGCCAGCTGCCAAAGGCTCCTTTAACTTCACAAGGCTTCCGGGTGGGGAGCAGTCACTTCAGCTTTCCTAGTGGAAAATTGGTAGGGCCAAGAAGCTTCCCTTGGAAACCTTCTATTTTTGCCAGAAAGGGCGCTTTCCACTAAGAAAACCATTCCAGCGGAAAATGTGTTACAGCTCTAAAAGTGACCACATTTTCTGGCTGGTATGGGTACGTATAAACCTTCGGGCCCAAACCATGGGCTAAGCCCCACCAAGAAGAATCTTCCCCCTTTGGCTTAAATTATCCTGTGGCTGTTCTGCATCTTGGTGCTCCTTCCCTGAAATCTGTGCTTCCGTAAGCAGCCGTGGGAGTTGGGAGGTCATGGAATGAGTTATTTTATGAACGCTCGGGAGCAGCTCATTAAAGCCCCGTTGACTGCACAGCAAGGCTCAAAGCTAATTCTACACAGCAGCTCCCTTCCTTTTTTCTCTTAGTTGGCTTGCAAAGAATGACAGAATTGATTACAAACACCTAAAGGTCATAGGATTGGGAGGACCACAATTTTGACCCATATGGCAATTCTTTGTCATGGTTCTTAGACCAGGAGTCTGTCTTTTGTCCCTTGTTCTAGGGAAATGGATGCAGGATGATTGTTGGTTAAAGTCTCCTGACTGCCCAGTACTTCTCTGTGCAGTGATGTCTAAAGGGTTATTTCTAGAACACCTCCTTCCTTTTCTCTTGAGCACTGCAATGCCATGTTGGGCTTTCAAAAAGGTTCTCCGAGTCGGCATCCCATAAATGTTCCAAGCCAGTGGTTGTTTCTAGATCAACTCGAGTAGGTAGGAAGTTAATGTCACAAATTTACTACTTCTGCTTTCAAATGCAGGGCTCTGGGATTCTGCTCTTGGAAGATGACTCTGTCTACGAAGGGAACTTCACAGAAGATCTAACCTTTGTTGGAAAGGTGAGCGCTTCCTCCATCTCAGCCTTCCTTCACAGTTGCTTGCTTTCCAGCAGGGCAGATAGATTCATCTTCAAAATTAATACTGTCCTGCTCCGCTTCCCCCAGTCCCCTAGAAAAATAACATTTTCCTGGTTTGGTTTTGTTGGTTTTTTTTCCCTTCTATTGTTAGTCTCATTCACAGAAGGAAGGCTGCAGCTGAGAGACTTCAAGTAGTTGGGGCTTTGTTGAATTGTTTTGGTTTTTACTGTTTTGTTTACAATGAGGAGTTTGGGGTTTTTTTATTGTCTGTGGGACATTTTTGGCTGTGCTTCGTAGCTGCAGTTGGGCTGCTCTTGCGTTCTTAGAACAAATGTTGGAGCCTTTGTAGTGGTTGGGAGCACAGGAAACGATGTATAAACCAAATGGAGTTGCAGTGGCATTACGCTAACATAACTGAGATGTTAACAGAGCTGAGGGATCTTGGAAGCTTGATTTTGCAATCTGGACACTGCACTGACACGTTCAACACTTCGTGGTTGATCTTTAACTGAAATATCTGGTCGAAGTGTTCATCAAGTGCCCCGTTGCAGGGAAAACTAGTCCTCCGGCTTGTTACAGAAGTCTGTGATGAGTCTGACAGGAAGTGTGTGGTTAGATCAGAGTGAGTGGATGTCAAAATACTTGGTAAGGATTGCAAATGAGCCCTGTTATTTAGTGACTTGTCATGGGAGGAGGAGTTTGTCATCACCTTCTTCAGCCAGAAGACCTGGGGTGGATTTTGCAGAGACTGATTATAGTACTTAGATACTGCTTCTGCCAGAATTAATGTTTAGTTTTAGTGGTTACTCTAGAAAAGTCTGTTCTTTATCTTAAGATGGAGTGCCTCCTGCTATTAGCCATGAGGACTTCGGGCTCGTATTCAGAGCCAGACTAGTTACAATATTGTTTGGCTTTGGATTTGATTTAATTAACTTTTCTACGTTTGAGTCGAGCTACTGCATGTCTTCTGTATTTGCCTCAGAGAATTTAAGGTTTTTCTTGGTAGCAGTGAACATTTTGAAAGCGTTTATGGTGAATATCATATGATTCCTCCTACCTGTGAGGCCAAATTTGCTTGCGGTTTTAACAAGCAGAGGAAAAACAGAGGAGAAGTTGAAGTTTCGTGTGTTCGCTGTAGGTTAGAAATAACTAATGTCAAATTTAAGCCAGAAAATTTTATAACTCAAAGAAGACATTGGGTATTTGTCAAGCATAATGTAAATGTTTTACTCTGCGATTGTGGAGGTCTTCCCCCTCCAGAATCCTACGTGTGTCATTCAATAGCAAGAAGATATTTAATCTGGTGGCTGTCACCTTAATGTCACTATTGCTTTGGATGTTGAAAACGTGCACCTCTCTGCTGGAAGTCGTTCTTAGTCACCGTTTCAGGAGCTGGCTCTGTTGAAAAGAGAATCTGAGACCTCGGTCCAGCTTGTTTCCTCTCACTAATGAGATCTTGGCAGAATAACCCTTTATTTCTCCGTTGCAGGGAAAGCTGTCCTTTGCCAATGGCTTCACTCTGGAGGGAACCTTTACTAACAAATCAGGCCAAGGCCTTCAGACGCACGGCATCCTGAACACGTCCAACGAGCAGCTGGATGACAGGATAACCAAAGCGTGAGCAACAGGGGTTGACTTCTTGGGTCACAGCTTGCATTTTCACTCTACCTAGAGGAGTACTGAACCAATCCCTGCTGGGATCAAGACGGTCCTTAGTGAAAGAGTTGGTCTAAAAACTGGTTTGTATGCAAGGAGAAAAAAGAGGGGAGGAGAGCACAGTTTGTCATTTAATCTTTATGCCACGTAGGATGAAGGAAAAGAATATTCTGCTCCCATCCTGCCCCATCCAGCCAGAGATACTCCCATCCTCACACCACAGTGAGCTTGGGAGGCTTAACGTTTTTGGTGATTTGTGCATGTGTGTGTGCACTCACACATATTTCTTTACATACACACAGACAGGTCTGAAGCTATACAGGCAAGGGCTGGCTGCTAAAATGCATCATTTACTCCTTCCCTGTCCCTCTGTGCTATTACATGAATATCACCAGCTGATATTGTAGAGATAGCAATCCTGTCCCTCTGTGCATGAATATCACCGTGACATATCACCAGCTGATATTGTAGAGATAGCAAAGCTACCAAAAATCAAGAACTGAAGCAAAGCTCTGAAGAACTGGAATTGGGTAGTGCTCTCTGTGGAGGAAGGCTGTGGAGCCAGGATCAGAGCTTCATGGGGCTCTGAACCCTGCAAAGGTTTGCCAGCCTGTGGAGGGTCTGGGTTCAGCCAGTTTAACCCAAATGAGGGAGTCCCAGTGGAAAAGAGCTGCCTGTCCCCTGAGGGGAATTTTTCTCACAAAACCCAGTTTAATTTCCTCCTCTTTCCTCCTCAAAACATTTCCAGTCCATCAGAGTATTGATGTTGCGGAAACAGCTCAGACAGAAATAACTGCTAGTGGTGGTTGCTCAGCTATTTTCTTGCCATCAGTGTTTTCTGTTGGCTTTCAGTTAAAATAAATAGTTGTATTTAGAAACATCCATAAGTGGAGCAGAAAGTCTGTGATCGGTTCACCAGCAAACATTCAAATTATTGATGTTCCACGCACCAGGAACAGTTTCCTGTGCTTTTCAGACAGAAATAACTGCTAGTGGTGGTTGCTCAGCTATTTTCTTGCCATCAGTGTTTTCTGTTGGCTTTCAGTTAAAATAAATAGTTGTATTTAGAAACATCCATAAGTGGAGCAGAAAGTCTGTGATCGGTTCACCAGCAAACATTCAAATTATTGATGTTCCACGCACCAGGAATTTTCCTTCACCCAAAGTACCTCGTTGTCAAGACAATAGACTTGAGTTGCTTTTTATTGAGTTACTGAAAAGGCTCTGTCATCTTTCCCTGCTCCCATAGTTCTTGTGTTAATATCTGATTCTGGAGAACCTTCCATACTTGAAGGCGAAGTCTGAAATAATTGAGGAGGGGGGCAGAAAAGCCAAATATTTATTCCATGTTTATTTTTTGCAGTCAGCTGGGCCTTGAGGAGTTCCCAGTGGAGAAGAGATGGAAGGGAATCTACGATCAGTTCCTGGAGTTCATCCATTCTGGCTGCAAAGAAGAAACGGAGGAGTCTTTCATGGGCTTCCACATTCAGACGAGCAAGGAGTTGAGGAAATCTCAGGAGTACCTCTTCTGCCACAGGTATGAATATTGTACACCCTTGTTTTAACAGAGTTAAAATAAATACCTCGTTGTGTAGAGAGGATAGTGGTTTACATTAGGGTCTGCCATAAGTTAAAGTTCTGAACCCCATTGTTATCTAGTTGTTCCTGCTCTTGAGACAGGAGGATGAATTTTAAGACTGAATTTAAGGTTGTGCTGTTAAGATTGACTTTTATAAGTGAAAATTTTGATGGGATTAATTTGATTAAATGTAAGCACCTGGACGTGACTCAGTCATCACTGGCTTCTCTTGTATTTGAAGGAAACCATCATGCAGATGCAGAGCAAACTCATCTCTCTTTAAGAATGTGACTCAGTCATCACTGGCTCATCTTGTATTTGAAGGAAACCATCATCAGCTGATGCAGAGCAAACTCATCTCTCTTTAAGAAATATTTAAAATAATTAAGATGAGCATGGACAGGATGCAACCCAGGCTGGTTGTAAGGGGACCTGAAGGCAAGGAATTTAACTAATCACAGGACTTTTAAGTCAATGGGACAGTTCCACTGAAAAGGACAGAAAAAAAAATAAAATCATTTGTTCTAATAGTCCTATTTCCCCCTTGGTGTCTACCTGCTACAACACTTGGGATTTATCCCAGTGCTTCGCCGTGTGGTTTTCCTTCCTCACCTTTCATCTTTTTAGGGGGACTGAAGATGTATCCTGGAAAATAGAAGATATTCTTGAAGAGCTTGTCCAACACCAGGGGCTGGAGTCACTACAGAATTATTTAGAGAAGGTAAAGTTTAAAACCAGAATGATTCACATCTGTCCAACAGACACTGACGTGGGTTATAGGAACTTTCTGTAGCTTTCTGTTAGCACATATAACATTTCCAGTGACTTCAGGAGTCTTCTCTAAATTCTGTGTGAATACCTATACTTGTGAAGAAGAGGATTATCCTTCATGCTTTTTGGACACTCATATTGTGTACAGCAGCTATACAGGCCAGAAAGTGATGACAAAGCTTTGCTCTTGGATCTCAAACTGTATCAGGGAATAACCAGCTGCTGGAAGTGATTAATAAACTTTCATTCACTCTTGGCAGTTGGTTTTCACCCTGAAGCACCCTTTGTGTGCTCTCTTCAGTATCACAGCAAATCTCATCAGAACAGCAATTCCAGTAAGCATATTTCTCCCTGACAATGGGAGGAGAATGGGCTTGTGGCAGCAAAACCAGACCAAAATTATAGTTGATTACCTCTAGGCTTGTTCTCCTTTGCTGATAAGAGAAGGTTGGGTGGCCTCTCAGCGTTATCCTCTACCAATGCCAAGGGCTGACTTGTAAAATCTAATTTTCCTCTGACATGCAGGCATTGAAGTCTTCCCTGCACCCACTGGGAAAGCTGCTGAAGGCCTTGACGATAGCTTTTCAGGCAACGTATTCTGGGATTGGGGCCAACAGACACTTGCTGACGATGGCACAAGAGGAAGTCAAGTACTATGCAAAGAAAATATGGGAGTTTTACCAGTAAGTCGAGCACGCTGAGTCTTTCCAATGGGTAAGACCACAGAGGGCTTGTGGAGTAGACCATCAGGATCATTTTTTCAGGTGACATGCTGAGTCTTTCCAATGGGTACGACCACAGAGGGCTCGTGGAGTTAGACCATCAGGATCATTTTTTCAGGTGACAGGACTGCTTTATTTTAGGAGCATTGCTTCAGAATGGTGCTAGATAAAGAGTTATTTGCCATAACTGAGGTCATATGGACCTAGAAAACTTTTATTATGCCCATTGCTCAGTACAAGATACAGGAGCTTCAATATGACTAAATCTTACTCGGTTACGGCAGCTCAATGAGCTGTTGCCCATAATAAGACTTTATTTAGACAACCACAAATATAAGCAAGAAACCTCGCTAAGTAGCAAGGACAGCAAAGTGTATCAGAGCACACAAGAGCAGTGTTCAATACCTACATTTGAATAAAAAATAGCTTAAGCTTAACATGCCTCAACAGGAGCTGAGAACATGCAGTGTAAGCGCGTCGTTGGGGCTCAGCTGATGTGGGTAGTGACTCTAAAATGAGGTTGTTCCATTGTGTGGTTGTGCCCATGGGTGATAAAGGTCTGGATCAAAAGCATGATTGGGGTCCTGTTGCTGTTAGAAAATCTTTTAGGAGAAGATACAAGAAGGTAGTGAGAAACAGAGGTGGGGAACTCTGCCTCTAGCTGCACTCGGGGTGGTATTGCCTTAAAAATAACAAGTTGGGTAAAAGCTTTGTTGTTATTGGTGTAGTCTTGTGTGAGGAAGGCTGCCAGCTCTGTGGTGAGGGGTTTTCTGCCCCAGAGCAGTCTGAGAACAGCAGCACAACTGATGGGGACAAGTTAGATTTGATTCAGTTCATCTGAGCTGTGTTCATGAACAGGACAACAGGGCTCTCAGCCTGAGCATCGGTTCATTTGAAAGTGCTTCTGAGCTTGGAGAGCTTGCTTCATATATCAAAACCTTTCAGATGCAGCGTGGGGAGGAAGACACACCTTGCTCTACCGTGCCCCGGCTGGGTTTCCTAGGCTGATACCAAAAAAAAAGCCTAAAAGCAACCTTTCCTGAATCTATGCTTTAATATTATGAATTTTTGGCTTGGAAATATCAAGACAAACCCATTTTTCAGAGTATGAACATCCTCTGATGTTTATAGATGGATTCAAAAATTGGTTGGTCTGACAGGTCATAGAATCATAGAATAGTTTGCTGTGGAAGGGACCTTTACAGGCCCAACTAGTCCAACCCCCCTGCCATGAGCAGGGACATCTTCAGCTACACCAGGTTGCTCAGAGCCCCGTCCAACCTGACCTTGATTGTTTCCAGGGATGGGGCATCTACCACCTCTCTGGGCGACTTGGGCCAGGGTTTCACCACTCTTATTGTAAAAAATTTCTTCCTTGTGTGTAGTCTGAATTTCCCCTCTTTTAGTTTAAAACCATCACACCACGTTCTATCATATCAGGCCCTGCTAAAAAGTTTGTCCCCATCTTTCCTGTAAACCCCCTTTAAGTACCGGAAGGATGCAATAAAGTCCCCCCAGAGCCTTCTCTTCTCCAGGCTGAAACCAGGTCCTGAAACCTCATGTCCCTGAATACAAGGAGATGGTGCTCAATGCAGACCAGAGTTAAGATCTCCAGAGTGACCACCCTGCTCTTCAGAAGCTATAGAGATTTTTGAAACACTGATTCATTCCTGACAGCTTCTGCTGGTAGTGGAGAAAGCCCTCAAATAGTGAAATTTGAATATTGAAACAATACAAGGATAATAAAGAGCTTTCCACTTGATGCTGGGTCAGCTGAGCTCTTCACTTGTGGAAAACAAAAAAAAAAAAAAAAGGGGGGGGAACCAAACACTGT